ACAGAATTTAACAAATATGACAGACACACATGGCATTATCAGCTTGCAGTAAATAATGAACTGCATAAAAATGCACAAAGGATAGTTATACAGACCTTATTCTTTTCCTTTTTTCGGATAAATCATGTGACCAGAAGTGCAACCAAGTCATGCAGACTGTGACTTAAACCCGGAAAATGTTACCTATTGCTCCTAGTTTTGTCTACACCCTGATTTGAACAGCGTATAGTATCTGTGGTAATCACATGGGCAGTACAGCGCCTGAGAAAGTGTGTGTGTTTAGAAAGGACCGGACTGTTGTTCACATTCCTCTGTCTGCACAGTGGATTTCATACCATTGATGCTTAAGGAGAGAAACTCTTAGATGCTGTCAATCAAAAGCAAGGATTCCCTCAGGGTAAAAAATTAAATTGCAGAGTGTTATAAATAGTACGGGACATTGCGTTACACATTAACTCATGTCATTCCTGCTTATTTTTGGTGTCTAATCTGGGCACCTTGCTAATGTTTCTAGATGAGTTCTAAATGAAAGTTCTAGAGGAGCTTGATCATCTAAGTTTTCTGTGTTTTTATTTAGCCCGACTTGGTAATATCCAGGTCATATAGCTGTAGGCTGCCATGCTAAAGATTTGAATAACAAAACTTCTTGTGAATAGTAATCCCTAAAACAGGCTGGAGCATTTTTACTTTAGGCTTGTTCCAGGAACTGTATGTGCCTGGCCTCGTCCATCATTAGAAGGAGGAAAAAGAGTTTGATCATAGGTGTGATATCCAAACTGTAGGATCTCTGTGTCTTCTCAACCACAGTCAGGGAAAACAGTGTTATTTAAAATTTGCAAAGATTGGATTTCAGACGAGGAAGCTGTTGTCCTGCTTGTCTGACTGCTTGGATGTACAGTAGTTGAGTAATTCCCCCTGCGTATCCTAAACATATTTCCTGCTTTAAACATCGCTAAACATTCCCAATGTTGCTCAGCTCAACACAGTGACCCTTGTCCTCTGCTCTTTATCGTGCCACCACATCATGGCATTTAAAATACACGTTGTTTTGCCTGTCCATCAGCTTTTTAAGGCTTGTATACCTGTGTTGATTTACACTTGAATCTAAATATATTGTTAAAGTCGGCATGAAATGGAAAGTCACCCTATCTATTGTAAATGCATATTCTTATAGAACTGTAGTTACACTCAGATGTACATTACAATATGGTAGATAAGATCTATTGCTATTTCAGTTTCATTGCAGCTTTAATTTTTATTCTAAAACACATTAAATTGTATAGAATAAAATGCATAGAAAAGAAACATCTTGAATTCTATAGTATCTATTGTAAATCTCTTAGACAGAAATAACCAGTAATTTCACACATATGTCAGAAGAGATCTCAACATTGTCTCTAAATGTGCTCAAGTCAGGGTTATTTTAGTAAACTAAAACCATAAAAAGTGTTACTATAAACGTCAATTGAAATAACAATAAATAACGTAAAATTATTTTAGGTAGTTGACAAGGCAATATTTTTCCTTTTCATTTACCTTTATGTGCTGAAAAAAAACTAAGCCTAAATAAATAAAAACTATATAGACATTCAAAAAAATAATGAAAAGATGCACAATTACTAAAACTACATAAAAATGAAAATTAAAACCAAAAATATAAAAATGAAAGCTAATTCAAAATATTTATAAAAACTACAGTGTAATGGTATCTCAAGATATCTACAAGTCTACTCTCAAGTCTATAAAAAGTTAGAGATCCTAATATGAACTTGGTGTTTCTCATATTCACGCTATTTATTTTATAGCTATAAACTCTTGCTACTTATCAAGAATCATGTCTATTTAAATATCCCAGAGAAAGCTGATTAGTTTGTCAGAAAATGTGTTATTTTCCAATTTTGCTTCCATAATATGACATAGATTCACATTGACACAGTATCACATTTACAAGTGAAAGAGGATATTAAACAAGAAAAATAGCATGATGAGACTTGAATCCATTGGGAATTGACTGTAATATGAAAAGTGGGTGTTGCATACCAGAATGGAGCCAGTTTGTTAAAATAACGACTGAATGGCTATTTGGACACTAGTCGCCCGTGCAGGCTACATGAAATTATTACAAAATCATAGGGAAAGGAAAGTTGTTTCAAGTTCATACATTTTGAAGAAAGATAAAGATTTCTTTAGAATAACATGCACCAATGATTCGTGATCAATAAGACCAGGAACATGTTTTAGGAAAAAAACTAAAGTCATAGATTTTTTTTCATCTTCACTCTAAACTAAGTTCTAAAAGACCAACCTCTGAGCAATCCTGTATTGTTCATTGACAAATGCAAGCATGCTTCTTTGTTTTTTGTTTTTTGGCTGTCAGAGGTGTTACGGTCAGAATGTGGAATTTTGAGGAAACTGAAGAAATGTACTCAATTCAGTGACTTTGACTAGGTTCTGTTTCGATGAGGAAAAAGTGAAACAATTCAGACTTGAAAATACTTGACAAGATTTTTATGTTTGCAAAGTTACCTGAAATCAAGCAATCACACACCACTGTTTTTTTGACCCATTGTCTCTTTACATATCTTCACATATTCATACGGTCATATCTGCCTCCGTCTCTCTCCATCCGTCTGTTCTCTTTATTTGCCCCTCCCCCTTTTACTCTAGCAGAGTAGCACTTCAAGACAGATTTTCATTAGTGGCAACATCTGCTACGGACACAGAGGGTGTATATGTTTGTATGAGTGTGTGTGTGTGTGTGTGTGCGACTCAGGGTCAGCTTGTTCACCATGATGCTCGCTGTTGGATAACTTAGAGTTTGACTGTTTCTGATCAGCTGTACTGACTGATCTAAACAAAGACATGGTGGATTTCTACGCTAAGATTCGGACCAACCACCGACCCAGAAGCGCAATGCCTCTCTCTCTGAACACACAGGTACGTCCACAACCCATTAAAACTGGGTTTCTGAGCACGGAAATGCTCTTTGTTGTCACTTTGATGTGTAAAAAGTAATGAATTGGCTTGATGGTTCAATATGTAACACACATAGTGTCTATATACGTATGAGCAGTGTGCATTAAAATCACTAGGTAGTGTTTCAATGTGGCGCATTAGGTGGATTTTGCATGTAAGTGTGCTTCTGTTGTGTTGTTCTCAGTTAGGATGTGGTTTCTTCCTGTTGAGACACTCTCTGGCGTAGATACCTCAAATGCACTTGTTAAACATCATCAGGGTCAAGTGTATCATCAGGTTTTTGTAAAACTCTTTAAAACACAGCAGCTGCAAGACAGTTGACCTTTAGCATCTCTGCAGTTCTGATCAGAAAAAAGGAAGTTTTGTTGAATTGCTCAGTCTGCATCGTTCCAAGCTTCCATAATGTGATGAACTGCACACTGTGTCTAGTTCCTGCTTTATAGGCTTCTCCCTATACATCCACTGCTTCTTTCTCTTTTTTCCTCTCAGTTAGCCTACTTGTACAATGACTAATACAGGTTGTGTGGCTGTCTCTGTTGGCCAGCGCATTCAGATCATCTAAATTTATCTCACAAAAGGATGGCATACATCTAAGGCTGGGGATTTCATCACTCCCTTTGCTTTAAACTGATTTAAAGGGATAGTTCAGCCAAAAAGGAAAGTTCTGTCATCATTTACATACCCTCATGTTGTTAGAAACCTGCATGACTTCTGTGGACACGAAAGGTTAAATGTTAAAGAATGTGCTGGACGCTCTTTTTCATAGGATGAAAGTGAATGGGGATCCAGGCTATCAAGGTCAATTAAAGGTGCACCAAATTGGGAATTGATTGAATTGAAATCATTCTAATATGCTGATCTGGTGCTCAATTATTAGCAGTTATTATTGGTGCTCGATAGTTAATAATGGTTCTTATCAGTGTGGAAAACTGATTATAATTTTTGTGGAAACTGAGATAATTTTTTTTTCAGGATACTTTTATGAAGAGAAAGTTCAATAGAACAGCATTTATTTGAATATTTTGTAACTTTATAAATGTCTTTACTGTAATTTTTGATCGATTTAATGCATCCTCGCTGAATAAAAGTAGTAATTTATTATTAATATTACTTACCCAAACTTTGGATGGTAGCTAGCTGTGTTCAACATTGATAATGTTAAGTTGAGTTAAGCAAATCAGCATATTAGAATGATTTCTGAAGGATCATGTGACACTGAAGACTTGAGTAATGATGCTGAAAATTCAGCTTTGATCACAGGAATAAATTACGTTTGAAAATAGATTCAAATAGTATGCAGTTATTTTAAATATTAATAATATTTCATAATATTACAGTTTTTGCTGTATTTTTAATCAAATAAATGCAGGATATTTATTTAAAAAACTTATTTAATAAAATCTTAATTATTTCAAACTATTTACCAGTAGTGTGTCACAACAGAGAAGAAAAGACAACTGCAACTTTTAACTTAACTAATAATGAAGGCTTAAATTTCTGTCTGTTTATCACACAAAGCTGTTGAAACTTAGAATATAGGTCATCTTGATAGTTCATTTTTGACCCTAACAACCCAGATCCCCATTCACTTTCATAACATGGAAAATAGTGGCCAGTATTTAAACATTTCTCCTTTCGTATTCCACAGAAAAAGAAAGTCATGTGGGTTTGCACAGGTATGGTTTATGCTGGGTGAGTAAATAGCATTTTGACTGAATTTTCATTTTTAGGTGAACCATCCCTATCTTGATCACTCTTGTTCTTCTTCAGTGCTTCATATGGTGGGTGTATTTGTGTGGCTATTGTTTGTGATGATTATAGTAATAAAGCTGTTTCCTGTCAGTTGATGCATTTTGGCACTTGTGGCTGAGAGACAGGCTTGGTCTGCACCAAAGGCTGGTAAATATAGACCCAGGATGTGACGTGCCGGCACGCTAGCTTTTATTTCCATTGTTGTGCTTCGATTGTCACTCTTGCTCTTCTGTATCTTTTTCTGTCTTTGTGTCTGTCTCTCTCTCTCACAGACGTTTCTCAGGAGAGGTGTGTCCTCGTACAGGCCTCTCTCGAGGCTAAAGGTGAGCTCAGTACCACAGTAAGCATATAAACATCTATTCCACAGCCATCTTCACTCGCATGCGCAGGGAACTTCATGGGTTCTTCCGTATCATGTACTGGGTGGTGAAAAACTATTTTGCAATCCCTGTTGAGCACTGGTGGATAAAGGAAGCTTAAGAGCAAACTAAAGCCTATTATTCATTTTCAATTAACAGTTAAGTATTTGAACAAACCCCTAGTAAATGTCTGTAAATGCACCGCTTTTGCAACATGCATAAGCATATGAATGACACCATAAATTGTGCTATTTGTTGAAAAGAGGATCACACTCTACCAGACTTTAAAGTTGTTCCGATCACAACAAACTCACAGAAAAACGTGCGCCTTGTTGCATGACAAATGAAAACAATAAATGTTCTAAAATCAGCTCAAAATATCAAACATGTTTGATATGGATGACTGGATGGAATCAAAGTCTGAAGCTAAAAAATCGGAGTCTGTGACCATCGTACACTATACACGATTTTCTATGAAATCTGTCAATTCAAATCTGCAGACTGGCCATGACTTTTGGCAACTAGCATCAACTCTTCCACAAATGTTCTCTTAAAGAGACAGTGGCAAGGAAATGAACACAAAGACCATGTTGCCATATGGCCACACCAAGCGGTAGAGGGTTAACAGTTAAGTATTTGAACAAACGCCTAGTAAATGTCTGTAAATGCACCGCTTTTGCAACATGCATAAGCATATGAATGACACCATAAATTGTGCTATTTGTTGAAAAGAGGATCACACACTAGCAAACTTTAAAGTTGTTTCGATCACAACAAACTCACAGAAAAACGTGCGCTTTGTTGCATGACAAATGAAAACAATAAATGTTCTAAAATCAGCTCAAAATATCAAACATGTTTGATATGGATGACTGGATGGAATCAAAGTCTGAAGCTAAAAAATCGGAGTCTGTGACCATCGTACACTATACACGATTTTCTATGAAATCTGTCAATTCAAATCTGCAGACTGGCCATGACTTTTGGCAACTAGCATTAACTCTTCCACACTATAAATCAGGGAAAAATCTGGGCAAAAATCATGTAGTGTATTCCAGCCTTTAGAGACCAGAATATCATAGAGACTTAAGCCAGTTAGCCAAAAAATAAGTGTACTTCTTTAAATTGCAGCAAAAGATTATTAGAACACGATTTACAAATGAAAATTAAAAATGTACATTATTGCAAAGTGCACATTTTAAAAGTGCAGTTAAGTGTGTTATGAAATACTCTCTTTAAGATCACTTAAGTGGCCTTTTATTTCATTAACACTGCATTATATCAAAGACTATAGAATACCCAAGACGCATCACTCGTATAGTTTTGAATGGGAAAAAATGCAATGCTCAATACGGCGGCCGCGCTATCGAATGAAGCCCCGCCTTCTGAGCAAAAGAGCCAATCGCTAATTCGTAAAGTCAGCGCATCACTGCAGCTGCTGTTAGAAGTCCCGGTTTCTATAGAAACAGTCAACGTTCTGCTTAGGACTGCGCATGCGCATGCCTGAGAAATAAGCTTTTTTAATGCTATTTGAGCAAAATAAACAACATTTATGATACAGTTGTTGTCAGATTTCATTGGTGATTTCAAATATGAAATGTAATCGTATGCTTGGCGACCAGTTTTGGAGAATTTGATGTTTCCCCATTCAAAGAGATAGGAGCTGCACTTGCATGCCTGAGAGGCGTTTCAAAGATGGCCGTCGAGTGACATGACTTGCCTTAAAGGGGGCATAACACAGTTTCACCCAATCTCATGTTAATCTTGAGTAACTATAGAGTAGTACTGCATCCTTCATATCTCCAAAAAGTCTTTAGTTTTATCATATTTATTTTGACTCCACGGCCCCCATTGCCAACAACAATATTCAAAGGCCCTGTGACTTTTGCAGTTGAAAATATTTTTTTTACAATTTATGTAAATGATTTTATAGTTACGGTTATAGTTTTCATTCTTGGTGTCAATGGGTATTAAACCATTGGTTTTCAGCCTTTTTGTCTCCATGATCCCCCATTGTCCACAGCAATGTCGAAGACCCCATGATTTTTGAAAAAGATAAAAAATAAAAAAAACATTTTAAATACTATTTTTTAAATATTTTAAAAAATATTTAAAATGTAAAATCAGATTGCCTCATATATACAGGTCGGGATAGTTCACCTGAAAATGAGTGAAACTGGGGCTTACTTTCATGTT